CTGCTGTTAAACAAATATTTGGGAGACATTTAAGAAAATTAACGCTGTAATGTTCCTGTTCCTTAATTTCCACAGGACACAGGATGGCAACTTGCATTCCATAAGCTTTTTGCACTAGATCTTATACAGCAAATGAACAGTGGGTCTCCTTAAAAAGACCCCTCAGGGCAAGCTGTGCAAGTATCATATGAGCTCAATTTCAGTAAGTTTCTGTATCTGTTAGTAGAACTGATGCTGTAACTCACTCCAGAAATATCTCACTTTTGCTCAGGTTTCTTCTGGGGACCTTCATATATCTATCTAATTCCCCCCCCAGAGTAAATGGTAATCATGACAGTCTCCAAGTCCATATTAAACACGCTAATGTTATATGCTAGTTGGTTAAGTGATTCTGTTAGTAGAGAGAGATTATTACAGGTTTTCATTTGTTTGTGTGTATTTTGCAAGGTGAAAAACTACTGAATTCCAGTTCACGTGCTTATGTAGAGATGCCTCAGAGTGCTCTAAGCTTTGTTGAAAAAATCAGTCAGTCTCTTTCACTATGTTAATTTAAATTAAGTTAAATGCACCATAAACAATGCAAATCTAAATAATTCAAGAATATTTATATGAAGCTAAATCATCTTTTTATCTAAATTACAGTGAAGAGTTCCGAATACAGTCTTTTTTTGACACAGATGTCTTTCTCTCTTTTTAATACCAAAAATGCATTAAAATAATAAAATATTTCATTATTGCTTTTTACTTTCTGGATGAGAAGCTTAATTCCTAGAAGACTGCAGGGAGAAAACCAGGTCATCTCAGGTACTACTGATGAGCTTACAGCTCAGTTCACCCCTGTCAGAGATGAGAGTTTTCAGAAACTTTAAGTGCCAGGAGCTTTAGAAGCGCCACTTATTTCTCCCTGTTGAAAAGAAGCAAGGGAACTTGAACACTTCTGCACAAAAGAAAATTCTCAGTCTGGTTAAATTTGGGTGTAGTGCAGACAGTTTAACTGGTGACAGTCGTTAGCAGTCTGTAATTTGTAAAATAGGTGGTTCAGAGCAATGAGTCCTTGCCATCTGGTTACATGGTACAGCTGAGGATGCAAAACCCCTGCTTTGTCCAGGTTCTTCACTATGCTAGCTTATCAATATGTCAATTGCCAGATATTCAGGAGCAATGTCTGAAAATGAAGACATAAATTTAAATGACGTATATGGCTGTGCTGCTGACACACCACTGTGATATCTTTGCTGGAAGATAGTTGTGTATATGTTCTCCCTCCTTTTTTTCTTTGTTTAAGAATCTGTCAGACCGTCTAATTAATTTGCTTTGTTTTTAGTAGTACTATCTTTTGTTTACAATGGCTTTTCTTCACATCCTCTGCAGGGCTAAAATGTCAGGGTGCTATGGATCTACCATGCATTTTTAATGCTGCCATGCTGTGTTTAACTTTCACTTTTCATTAAGCATCAAAACTGTGAGAATTAAAAGCCTGCTTTTGATGTTCCAATAAAAACCGACAGTCAAATTTGGCATAAAAGCAGGAAAAAGGATTACTTTGTTTTAAAGTCTAATTTGACACCAAATACCCAGAATATAGGGCAGCAAGTAATTTTAGCGTAAATACTGTAAAAATAGGTAAAATATTAATCTTTGTCTTTAGTAACTCATCTTGACAAAGTTTTTGTAGAGCAATTTAACTTCTTTTATTGCAATCCGTATGTTTTTCACTCCAGTACCCGAGAACTGTGTAAATTCCTATGACATGATCTAAAAAGGCAAAGTCAATTGCAAATATACAACACCTTTCTATTGTTAGACAAATGCTAAAATAATTTCATAAGCCTCTCCCCTTTATAAAGGATTCTGCAGTTCAGAATTAAACATGTGTGGTATGAGAAGGTAGCTGATTTGATGAAAATGTCATTTTGAAAAGACATAAACATTTTGGGGTTTTTGATTGGCTATTTTGCTTTTAGTCTAGACTTCAAAGTACGTGTGTGTGTGTATATATGTATGTTATTAGGCCTAACAGACCTTTTACTGACTTAAGCCGAAGAGGAAGGAACTAGGGGAGAGGAACGTGGCAGGATAAGTGACTTAAATTCTATTTCTGTGCACCGTGCTGGAGTACTCTTTATTTGTAATAACATGATCTTTTGTCCATTTTCTGTTCCGTATGTATGCCATTTATAACTGCTCCTTCTCCCTTGATGTCAAAGCAGACACGTTGTTAGTGTAAAAATTTGGTTATGCCACTCATCATGTCTGATTTTGAGAAATTCTGGAATTCCAAGTTTATCAATATACCAAAGAGCTTAAAGAAAGCAATGACGCATGAGATTTGAGATCTTCAGAGTTAGCAGCATGAGCTGCTGGAGCAGTGTTCATTTACACATGTCCTTTTCCAAGCATTTTTGCATTTATTTTGGTTAGCATGGTTGACTGGTTTGGAGTTCTTCATTGTTTTGTGACAATATGAGCACATGCAGAGACCTTTAAGACTGTGCTTGGATGTCTAATTTAGGACAGTATGCTTTAGCATCCCTGTAAGTCCAAATTACCAGTTATAGAATAGTGTTTGTTACTTTCCCCAGTTTCCTAATCTCTCCCAAACATCAGTTCAAGTGTTTACCATAACTTGCTAGTTTACCACCTGTGAAACTGTCATGTCAATACTACCATGTAGAGAGAGACAGATGTTACTTACAGTCATATGAAAAGGGTAGGGAGGCATCCCTAGGTATGTGACTGTGTTCCTTTGTTTTGGGACTAAGTCAGAACGAGTGCCTGGTATATATGGAAGGTTTTCGGCAGTAACGCATCCAGCGTTCCTTGAAGAGAAGCCAAACTCGAAGATTGTTAGTTCTAGCTTAAATAGATACTTCTTTATTTCTTGTTTTATGTTCTTCTCAAATGTATATATTTTAATAAACTCGTATTTTCCACAGCTTTTTTTAATTACTAAAATATAACTTGTATTTATAAACGTTTTCATCTGATACTTTTTCTTTCTCCACGTGTCCTTGTACCCATGATAAAATGTGTAATCTATATGTATAAAACTGTATCAGTCATCTTTGTATTTCTTTATTTTGCTCTGTCTTTGTTGTGTCTGTCTCTAACAGGCTCATCTCATCTCTGTATCTTCCTCATCTCCTATCCTTTGGGTTCTGTAAACTCCCTGAAGGTTCAGAGGTAGTATAAATACCTATTCTTGCTTGGGCTTCGCATCATTTCAAATGTACACCCATGTCTTCATCTCAGTTTCTTGACAGCATGCAACTTCTTGGTATAGTGATTTATAAAATACCTTAGGCCCTAGTCAGAATCTGTGGCACACTCAAGGAAAACTTGTGGGGAATGATGTTATGTTGGGGGGAAAAATGGTCTGTTTCTTTATACCTTTCATTTTCTTACATCAGTTTGTAAACCTGCAAGTCATA